CTCCTCTTCCTCTCCACCTGCTCCTCATTGGCCACTTTACCCCCCCCCCCCCCCCCCGAACTTTTAATAGTCAAGGTAATTCGCCCAATAAAATGCTCGATGTGGATGAACAGTTGTAAAAAGTACTTATCTGAGCCAGGAAGAGCATCTGATGACTAGAAAAGGAAACGCTATGTTTATTGACATGAAAAAATTAATACTGCAACTTAACTTTGTATTAATATTTTGCTAACCCACGTCCATAAGCTTATCCTGGGTATGCATCTGTGCTCATTGGCGTGCGATCACTCCAGCGGTATGCGAAACAACCACATAGAAGGGGCGCCTGGGTGGCTCAGTCGGTTAAGCCTCCGACTTCAGCTCAGGTCACGATCTCACGGTTTGTGGCTTCGACCCCCGCGTCGGGCTCTGTGCTGACAGCTCAGAGCCTGGAACCTGCTTGGGATTCTCTCTCTCTCTCTCTCTCTCTCTCTGCCTCTCCCCTGCTCATGCTCTTTCTCTGTCTCAAAAATAAACATTAAAAAAAATTTTTTTTAACAACCAAATAGTATAAAGCTGGCTCTCCTGCATAAAGTATAAACATGACTTTTATGTGACAGAGTTTGGCCAGTGGGGCAGAATGATTTGCTCAGGAAAAAGCTACCTCAGATCTGGAGATTTTTTGATTGGCTATTTTAGGACTAGGTCTTTAGAAACTGATGTATTACATGTTTACTTTTTCACAGAGTTCAGTAACTGAATGCATTTGGGAGTATTTCATTTTCTTTGGAGAATGCCTGATCTATAAAAACAATACTAGGTTCCTAAAGTATGAAGTTGTGGGGGGGGGGGAGAACATAGTAAAGTAGGATGGTAAAAATAACTGATTAATAACTTGTCTTAGGTAGTTATTTACAAAAATAAAATCTTGGCCATGGTACAGCATTAGTTCAAAGCCCATTTGGGACCCTTTAAAATTAAAAATACAATAAATAAATTCATATATCAAGCACAATGTCTTTTGTGCATTGATTATTGCCATGAATTTAATTCCATCTCTTTCAAATACACCCCCCCCCCC